TGCAACTAATGAATCCTTGTCCAAGTACTTTGCCGATTTAATGAGCAGTGAGTTTGAGATGAGCATGATGGGGGAACTCAACTTCTTCCTTGGGCTCCAAATTAAGAAAACTAACGAAGGAATAATGATCCATCAGCAGAAATATGTGAAGGAGTTATTGAAAAAATACAGTATGGAAAGCACAAAGATAAACCACACTCCCATGGGAACAACCATAAGGTTGGACCAAGACCCCAAGGGAACTCGTGTGGACCAAACAAAATACAGAGGTATGATTGGTTCCTTGTTATATTTAACTGCTAGCAGACCTGACATTTCGTTTAGTGTAGGTCTTTGTGCAAGATTTCAATCGGATCCAAAGGAATCGCATCTAACAGCCGTCAAAAGGATTCTACGATACTTAAAAGGGATGGAAGACTTGTGTCTGTTCTATCCAAAAAGTGACTCGTTTGACCTAAGAGGATATGCTGATGCTGACTATGCAGGAGATTTAGTAAATCGTAAAAGCACGTCAGGTATGGTCCAATTCTTAGGCTCTTGCATGGTTTCTTGGAGTTCCAAGAAACAAAACACTGTTGCTCTATCCACTGCCGAAGCAGAATATGTGGCTGCTGCTGCATGTTGCTCTCAATTGCTATGGATAAAACAACAGTTGCGTGACTATGGAATTATTTTAGAGTGCGTTCCTATTCATTGTGATAACACAAGTGCCATTTGCATCTCTAAAGATCCAGTACAACACTCTAAAGTTAAGCATATACATGTAAGGCATCACTTTTTGAAAGATAATGTTGAAAAGGGCTTAATTAAGCTAGATTTTATTTCTACTGAATGTCAAATTGCTGATATATTAACTAAGCCTTTAAGCAGAGACAAGTTTGAAAAGATGCGTGTGGAATTGGGGATGCTACGGCTAAAGTGATTTTTGTTTGGAACCCCTAAGGTAAAATCGGATGTAACTAACAATGCTATGCTCAATCTTGTGTGCATAACACAGCTGAAATTACCCAGGGGAAAGATTTGTGAAGTATTGAAAAGTCACTTATACATACTTTTAATATGTTAAAAATATTGAGCCATGTTGTTTCAAGTTCCCTTTTCATCATTCTTTATTCTCTGTATTATGATCACGTAAATTATCATCATAATTTACGATCAATTTGCACTTATCTATCTTTTTAATTTTTTTTCTGTTTTCCTTCTTGTTATTATTTTTTTTCTTCCTTTTTTTATTCTTATCTTTTTCCTTCCTTATTTTTTTATGTTCAATTCTTTTTCCATTCCTCATATAATTCAAAAATACAAAAAGATTTTTTTTCGTAAGATAAGGAGCTAGTATATTCACTACTCCTTACTTTCCGTATATTTCTTATCTTTTAAAAGTTTATCTTTTATTGTGATAAGTTTGAAAATTGCAATTAATCCACCCTATTAAAATCCTACTACCTCTAAAACTACTCTACTACCTCACCATAAACCGTCACTTTTTCTCACCCTTCCCAATTAAACTCTTTTTCTTTAACACTCCACCCTCACCAATCACATCAAATTAACTTCTCCATACACCCTCATAAAAACCGGCCTCACTCTCTCTCCTTCCTATTCACACTATTCATCTTCTCCTTCCTCTCAACTCACCTTCATAACCATGAAAACCAACCTAAACTCAACACCGAAACCACCAAAAACCCGAATACCTCCTCCCAAACCTTCCTCTGCTGACGGCTCCCCTGAACCAATCCCAATTGCCGTCGTTCACCCAAAAGCTCCACCAAAGAGAAAGGCTACAACCGTGAAAGGAGGCGAAAGGAAGAGGCGAAGCTCTCAAAAGTTTCCATCTTGGAACTACACTCACGGCTATCACATCAATTATGACTGGTGTACGGCAAGTAAGTTCTCCGAATTCACCTCCTTAATTGATTATCAAGAATGGGTGCATTTGTTCCAAAATTGTTCTCACTATCCAATTTACCCTAAGCTTCTGTTTGAATTTAAAAATACTTTCAAACACAACAATGATGTATGCACGACTACAGTCAAAGATACTTACATTCATTTTGATGTTGCATATTTAGGGAACTTGTTTCAAGTCCCCACCTCTGGCTATAGTTCGTACCTAAAACACAAACAAATTGTGCAAATTGGGCATTATGATGAGAATAGAATAATCAAATTTATAGGTGGAAACCCGAAAAGCAAGACTTCACATCATAACATACTCACTCCTCTTCACAAATTACTGTTCAATTTCACATGGAGAGGCATTGTTCCCCGTTTGCGAAAACGAAGCACAATATCCTTACTAGATGCAACCATCATCTTTTGTCTTGCTCGGAAAATAAAAATAAACTTTCCAAAACTGATGATTGAACATTTGGTTTTCTATGCTGCTAAAACTACTATTCCATATGGATCTCTCCTTACTGTGTTGTTTAAGTCTTTTGGGATTGATGTTGAAAGTGAGTCACCCACTTATATTAAACCTGAGAACATTCTTTCGGAGCAATCTTTGCTTCGCCTGAGCCTTAAACTTGAGAGTGGGATAATTACCTTCTTGACTAGAGGAGGAGAGGAGAAAAATAGTGGAAAAGGGAAAACACAGGTTGTAGAGGGAGATACAAGTGAGTCAGAAGAGGAGGAAAGTGAATCTGAAAAAGAAGAAAGTAAAGAAAAAGGAGAGGAAGACAAAGAGGAGGAAGAAATTTCTGAGGGAGAAACACAGGAGGCAGAACCTGAGAAAGAAGAGGAGACTCAGAGTGAGGGGGAATCTAGTTCAGAAAGTGAGAGTCTTGACCTCCCTTTTAAAGGGGAACTCAGGAGGAGTAAGAGGAAAATTGTCAAACCTACTGTTTCTACTCTAAAGCCTATGATTATTGAAGACATTAGTTCTTCAGATCACTCTGACCCTGATTTTACCCCTACACAAGTTCCTTTTGCTTCTGAGCCATCTTCTGTTCATGACTCCCCCCAAAACAAGCTAAACCCTCTTCCACTCCTGTTTCACCTCCAAAACAGACTTCTCCCTCTCCCTCCCCAACTTTTCCTACATCACAGCCTACAGGCTTTGCTGCCTTCTCTGGAACAAATGCTTCTATTTTTGATATTCAACAGGTGAAAGTAGTACTGGAGCAGCTGACAAAGATAGTGAGCACAAAGCTGGAGGAAATGGCAAAGCAGCTGACTTCTCTTCAACGCCAAGTGCAGGCTGTGGCAGACACTTAGGAAACTAGTTTTACTGGGATGAAGAACAAGGTTGATGCTGCTGAGAAGAACATACTGCACATCACTCAGGAGATATTGGAGACGATTAACAGGGTGGCTTTTGAAGAAGTGGAGGAAGCTTCTAATGACCCAATAAACCCAACTGATGAACCAACCTATTCCCCATAATTGCAATTTCGAACTTGTCACTTTTAATTTCTTTTGCTTTTGCTTGTTTCATTTGGATTTCAGTTTGAAATTCTTAACTCTTGCTACTCTTTCCTGCTTTTGATTTTCGTCTATGGGAACTTGGCTCGTATTTTTCATATGATTGTGTGTGTTTGCTGATAATTTAGTACCTCACTTATTTTTGCCTTGCATTATTTGAGCTCACTATTCCCTACGTAGTCTAGTGGGAGTATAGCAAAATGTTTTTTTCATCTTTTGATAATGCCAAAAGGGGGAAAAGACAAACTTCATGGCGGCTAAGGTGTTTACCAAGGAACTCACACATCGAAGGTACAAACTTTTGCTAAGTTCAGTTAACTCAATAAAGTCCTAGTAATCTAAGTTTTTAAAGTCTTTGTTAATTTTTCTTTTGCTCAGTCTTTTTAAAATAAATACTTTTTAGTATTTTTCTAAGTTCTTTAATTACTCTATTTGTTTTTTTTTGTTTTCATGTTTTGCTTTAAATTTTTGTTGCATGCCTGGATGATTTTATTTACCTAAATTTGTCAATGTTTGTCATCATCAAAAAGGGGGAATTTGTTGAGCCTTTTGGTTTTGATGGACAAATTGACAAACTCGACTAATGAACGTTTTGAGTCTTTGATGAATAAAGGGTTCAAGCAAAGTTCGTTCCAGAGTAGGAACTTGGATGCGGAGTAGCATTCTCTAAAAAGCCTCGTGCAAATCTCACGTTCTAGTTTTAATTGTGAGCACTCAATAATATAAAGTCGGAAAGGAACTCAATGACTTATGTTATTAAAAAGACTACTGGAATAAAAGTTAGTTTTAAAAGATAATTTCTTAAGGAAAAAAGATGATTTATAAAAGTTTTATCTAGTCATCTATTTTCGAATAAAGATAATTATCTAAGATAATTATCTAGTTGTTTTAATATAAATAATTAATTTATCTTTTCAAATAAAATCCTTTTTGAAATAAAATCTTTTTAAACAAACTTTTGATAAAGTTAACAAGCAGTTTCTTTGTTGTGAAAATCTCTGATTATACGGTTTTATCAAAGCTAATGTTTATCAAGTTGTAGAGATAGTGGATTAGTGAGATAAGGCTAGGAAACCTCCTTCATGATCACCATCTGTCAAGATAACTCCACAAGTTGTTAGTGGGGTGTTGGCATGTGGACGTGATTATAGTGGAGGTTAATGACTAAGCCTTCTCTATAAATACTCATGCAAACTATCTCAGCAAAACACAACTCTTGAGCATAAAAATTCCAGTAGCAACCTACTAACATAAAGAGAGTTATTTTCCTTCATATATTCTTGAGTGTAATAGGTATTTGTAATTACAGATTGTATTGAAGCACTTTGGGGTTTGGGATTGTGAGTTTGTGTAAGGTGAGGTCAAGGAAGCTTCGCTGCTGAAGGCTTCTGTGAGAGTTGGGAACAAGTTCCTAATTTGTGGAACTTGTTAACGGGTTTGAATATTCACTTGTAAAGAGTTTGATTACATAGTGGAAATTTAGAAAAGCCTATATCTTCTCTCGTCATTATTTCATTTAGTTAAATTCCGCAAAAGTTTTTAGATTTCATCTCAAATACAATTCACCCCCCCTCTTGTATTAGCCAGTTAGACTTTCACTAAGTTATTTTTTTTTTCTTTTTTTTGGCTTAAACAGAACCTCTCCAATAGTCCATTATATTGACAATGTGCGCTGCCAAGGATTCTAATCGCTGTTCAATCGTTCATCTTGAGAACAAGGGTAATGAATTTTTGAAAAATTTGTGATGAAGTTCCTTTTAAGTAGACCTTTTTTTATAACAAAGGTCCTTTTATAAAAAAAAAAAGGTGGCATAAAAGGTCTTTATATCATGTTTGGGTTGTGAGGAAGGTCCTTTGACCATATTCCGAACAAAAAAAGCCACGTGTATAAAACACGTGACTTATTAAGTTTCCTTTTTTCCTTATTTTTTCTTATTGTGGGGAGGATTAGCCTTAAATTACTTTGAATAACCTTCAATTTTAAATTTTAATTTATGGGATTACAATTGAAGTTTTGGTGTTAATTGTTTTCAGAAATTAGGGTTTAATAGGGAAAAAAAGGGAAAAACGAGGGAAATGAGGAGGGAAAAAAAAGGAATTTAGATGTGACTATTTTTGGCCGGAAACTAAAAAAGTCAACGCCGGAAAATGGTTAAAGGATCCTCCTTACAACCAAAACATGATATAAGGACCTTTTTGTGCCACTTTTTTTTTTTTTTTTTTTTTTTTTTTTTTTTTTTTTTTAAAGGGCATTTGTTACAAAAAGGTCTACTTAAAAGTACCTTCCTCATAAATTTTCCTAATTTTTTTGAGATTTTTTTTTTAATTATTTGTTCTATTGATTGTGATCTGTTTTATTGCTATATAAAAAAAAAAGACTAAACATGTCACTTTAAGTTTCAATCTATTTTTCTAGACACCACACACAATCTGAATCTATAAATAATCCACTTTAAATAATAAAACCGGAGACGATGACTTATACCAAACCCTAGTAATAGGCTAGCTACTTCAGTTGCTACTAATTAATTTTATTATATCTACTTGTAAAAAACACTTGTACTACGTATATATAGTTGTATGCAATAATGCAATAGTCATTGTATGACCTACAAGTGGAACACTTTATCATATATACTTTATTCACCTATTATCTACCTATTAAAAAAAAAAAAGAAGAAGAAGAACTTTAGTCAATTATTAACCATACTGATGCACATAAGAAAAATAAGCATCTTTCACTACTTCACAAAGCCAAAACTAAAACAGTAATAACATAACCCTAAACTAGTTGTGTACATGAGGAAGAGCAGCAGCAATGGCAATAATAGCGCGGTGCCATTGCTGGAGATGGAAAGAGGCGGCAAGAGAAGATGGTGGGAGAAGATGATGGACTACAAAGAAGGGAAGGAACAAATATTGTATTCGTTGCCATTGGTGCTAACAAATGTGTGTTACTATCTCATTCCATTGCTTTCGGTTATGTTCGCGGGTCATCTTGGTCAGCTTCAGCTTGCTGGTGCTACTCTTGCTAATTCTTGGGCTTATGTTACAGGTTTCGCTTTCATGGTTTGTATTCTACTCTTCCCTTACTTTTTTTCTTTCTAGTTGTTAAGAAGTATTAATTGTAAAAAAAGCAAAACTTGACATACACTAAGGGCTTGTTATCTACTTGAAAAATTGCTAGCTGGCTTCACCAGTAATGGTACTAATTCATTTTCCTTTATTTGTACACCAATTATTGGTGATTCAGGGTCTTTGGGTAGGCTTGGTATGTGGGCTCTCAGCTCAAAATGGTTCACTTTTCCTTATTACTCGACTTCGGAAATGGACAACAATCGAGCTTTCTCCTAACGTCTAAGATTCAACTTTAGTACTTTTCTGTCCACAAAAAAAAAAAAAAAAAAAAAAAAAATAAAATTAGTAGTTTGATCGGTGTAACTTAAATGGTATCAACATCAATGCATCAAACTAAAGATGTGAACTTATTTTTGGCTCCCTACTATGCATGGCTAAGATGTACGTACTTTGTAGCATATTACGATTAGTAGTTTGCTTAACAGATTATCTTACACCACTAAGTTTAGTATGTTAAATTTGATTTATGTTTTGTCTTTTGCATTTCTCTTTGATGGAAAAATATAATGAAGAGATAGTTTCATACTCCCAATGACCCGATTTGTTTGCTCTATTTTTTTTCTTCTTTAATTGTCATTCAAAGATTGTTATATATAACGCAGTCGGAAAAGGAAGCGCAATTCTTAACACGAACGAACAGATTTACACGCGATAAAAACTCTGGAATCCACCAGAAAGGTAAAACTCTTATGAATATAATCAAAGTGTCAAAACTGAATACAAATGACGGCTAAAACGTTTAAATGTCTAAACAAATCCCTAATATGAAAATAAAGCAAATTTAAAATCCGAAAAATGTTTAAACACTGTTTTCGGGCCTTAAACGAACTCGGATTGCTTAAAAAGCATGTCGCACACATCAAAGTAGAAATTAGTAGAAATTATTAAGCAATTTGACTCAGGGTACCCAATTAGTAGAAATTATTACCCTGAAAAATTGAAATCAAGCTTTCCGATACTAAACTTCTTCATCGAACTGAGTAACTGTCAATATACTTTTTCCGATCCGTTCTTTATTAGTGCACCATATATTTTGGGTACATTTTTGGTAGTGGAAAAAGGAGGGGAGAAAAAAAAGTAAAAATACAAAATAGCCATATGTTTGTCAACATAAACTAAATAATCAAGTATTTATAATTAAGACTATTAAATATTTGTAGTGTGAGCATAGATATCTCCTTTTCTAGCATGGATATGGTGCAATTTTTGTAAAAGTTTATTAAACACAAGTGGTGCAACATTAATTAAAACAATAAAACTCGAAAGAATTACTACAAAAATATGTATGGGGGATCATCACTTTATGTACCCTCACACAAACAAATTAATTAAATTTAAAAAGTTAGGGACAAGATCGAAGTTCTTGTATAATTTAAATCTTGTTGATCATGCAATCAAAGTCCAATAATATTTCTTTTTTTCTTGACAAGCCTAAAGTAAATGTGTGTCACATGACATGGAATAATAAAATGGACTAAGGCAAGTAAAATAAAGAATCGTGAGCATCGTGAAGTAATATTCAATGATTGTTATTGCAGCAAAGAACATTATTAAAAGTGCTAAAAGAATGGAAATTGAAAGGTATACATGCTAGAAGCTTTTCACTTTTCACTTTGGTAAGCTTAGAATCAGCAAAAGTAAAAAGCATAGTTATCTGAAAGACTGAATGAACTTGTGGCCGCTATACTACCACTTCCTTTAATTTCACATGCTTGTTAATGATCTAAAAAATACCATATATTATTCTAATTAATCTTCTAAATTATTTGAATTTTTCTTCAGCACATAATCAAGTGGTAGTGTGATATTGCTTAACAATACTAATAATGTCTTTGAACTAAAACTGTTTATATTCCCTGAGAAAAATTCATTCATCTATGAGCTAGTGTTCACTTTTCGAATAAAAATCCAATTCAATTCAAATCTTCTATTAACTATTACTAAAACAAAACCTGCTGACATCATTAAAGGACACTTGACAACTTTTTATAAAAAAAATTTCTGCCAAAATTATTTTTGACGTCATCATTTTATTTTAAAACTATTAAATACAACATTTCTTTCAAAATTAATTAATGAGATTATGATTACACTTTCCGAATAAAGAATATTGACAATTATTTTAATCAAATAATATCTATTTAATATGTGCAACACACAAAATTAAACTAGTTGAATTAATAATTCAGATATAAATTTTTATAATTTGAATACCCTGGCTAAATCAGAATGTATGGGTTTGGATTGCTTGTATCCAAATAAATCGAACAAAACCTACAACTTTCTAGAAGTCAAAAAATTATTTTAAACTATTTGATTTCTATAATGTAGAAAGCAAAATAATTATGCTAACCTCAAAAAAAGTACACTTTATACAATCTTCATTATAGGGATAATTTGGAACATTGTGGACCGATGTATACCAATTTGTAATACTTGTATTTGGTAATTTTTATAAGGACATTATTTTATTTTTATTTTTTAAAAAAAAAAAAAAAGAAAAACAGTTGTTTGGCTTGAATTTTTTTTTTTTTTTGCAGCTTTAGTAAATTTGGATTTTTGATTTTGGATTGGATCGAATAGGTTTTGGGAAATTTTGAATCAGGTTGGACTCAAATTACAATTTTGATTGGAAACCGAACAATAAATAGATAGCCTTTAAGCCCTAGTTACATCCGTCCTCATATCATTGTTCTCATATGCCTGGGAATATATATTTAGACCATGTTCTTTTCACCTTATTTTCACTTATTCTAATTTCATAAGTTTAAATAAAATAAGTTTTGAATTGAAAATAGTTGATAAAAATTAGTAAATTACCCAATTTCAAATTTTTACAACTAAAATATTAAGTTTAATTAATAAGTTCAATTTAATTCATGTAAGTGTAGATAAAAATTGATAAATTCTAATAAGGGAAATTCAGTTTAATAGCTAGAACACACCGTAAATTTAGATGGTACGGTGATATGAGTTTCTTGGCGGATAATAGAAATATAAGAATGGAAAAACAAATTTAGGATAAAGAAAGATTTATTGGAGGATCCCACATCACTTGGGTTGAATGCTTTAGCTTCTCTAATGGTAAGCTAATACCCAATTAGTTTCCCATGCCACAAAGGATTTCAAGCGAGCTAACCCTTCTCTATAACTATTTTGTGCCCAAAGAGTTAGCTAGTAGCTTGTTATTTAAATGACCGAATTCACTTGATTTTATTAATTAGTTTTTTGAAATTTCATATTATTAATATACCATGCAATATCCTGTATTTTGAAAACTTTTTCTCAAGCACATTAGTTTAGGCAACCTAATTTAATGTTACTTTTTAGCTCGATCTTAATGGTGAAGCTAGTAGCTAGAGATTTTTTTAATATTATAAGTCTTCATCTGATCTACAACGACTGGAGTTACTTTAGATAAAGTGAATTTTTTGTTTAAGGTAACAAGAAAATCATTTAGGAGGCATTCGAGCTGCTCCTTGCATATGGAAAGGGGCAGCAGGAGGCCAACAAGGAGGCGAAGCCGATGGATTGGAGTGTCAAGAATGAAGACGGCAACACGCCCTTGCATGTTGCATTTCTCAAACGCAAGTTTGAGGTTGCTGAATGGTTGGTGAAAGAGTATCCTGAGCTGGTTGCTGTAACCAACGAAGATGGGAATACTCCTCTTCATGTTGCGGCAGCAGTGGACGATGTGAGCATTTTCAAGGTACTATTTATCGATAAAGATATTGTAAAATGGCAGCCGACAGGGAGGTTGAAGAATAAAGAAGGCAACACGCCGCTACATGTTGCAATTATCAATTACAATTGGAATAAAACTGCTAGATTGCTACTGGAACTGTATCCTGAGTGTGCTCGTGTTACCAACAATTCCAAGCAGACGCCTCTTCATCTTGCAATTACCAAATATCCATTTTTGGGTAACTACTCGATCCCTCTGCTCTCACTAATATAATTCATCGTACATTTAAATTTCTACATATATTAATGGGAAAATCCCTGTTTCTCATGGTGAGAAACGAAATTTGTTTCTCATGAGGGCATTTCCGTTAATAAATCAACAACTTTTTCATTATTGTGGGCTCCACAGTTGAATAAAGTGGAATAAAGTTGTTGATTTATTTACAAAAATGCCATGTGAGAAACCAAATTTGTTTCTCACCATGAGAAACTGGGGCACCCTCTATATTAATCATTAAATTAAGGAAATTTTGCATTAAATCATCTTTTATAACTTTTTTTTTTACAAGAAATCACCTTATGAAATTTTTTTCGCAAAAACACACCTTAATCTAAATTTTTTTTGCAACCACACACCTTTTGCCAGAAAATACACTTTGACCTTGTTTTCAGGGGTTGACCCAACCACGTACGGAGCACGTGTCCCCCTAAAACCACTAATCCTTCTTTCTGTCTCTTTTAATTTTACCCAATTTTTCCGTCCAACACCAATTACCCTCTCTTTCTCTAGCTCTCCTTCACTGTTCTTTCCCCCTTTCCCATTAAAATCGATTTCTCCTCTCATCATTAACTCTCTGCTGCTCTGCCATGGCTGCAACTAATTAAATGCTTCAATTCGAGTTCAATTGCTGGCCCTAGGTGAAAGTAAGTTCTCTATTTCTCTCTCCTTCATGTTTTATTTCCCAATTTAAAACCCTAATTTTCAAACAAAACCCTAATCTCCACAATTGTAAGCAAATATAAGCAATTAAGTGTCAATTACCTGGCCCAATTGAAGTTCCTTGGAGAATTCGATGGAAATATGGCCAACAATGTCGTCAATTTTGAGCAAGATTGAAGAACATGAACATAGGGAAGAGAGGAGAGAGAAACAAATAGAACGAGAGAGAAATTAAAGAGAAATGAGGAGGGAAAAGGGAGGATTAGTGGTTTTAGGGGGACACGTGCTCTGCACGTGGTCGGGTCAACCCTTGAAAACAAGTTCAAAGTGTTTTTTCCGGCAAAAGGTGTGGGGTTGCAAAAAATTTTAAGATTAAGGTGTGTTTTTGCGAAAAAAAATTATAAGGTGCACGAGTACAAAAAATGGAATAGAGAACTGTTAAAATTGGCCTTATAAAACGCCTCAAAGGCGTTCTTCTGCTAAGCGATGTGTAAAGTTCACAGAACGAGTATAGGAGGCGTTCTATATGCAAGGGAAAAGAGAACGGTTGCAAGAGGCGTTCTATATGCTAGAGATAACCGTTCTCTTTCCTATTTCATATGCTTATAAAAAATGAATAAAAAAGAACGGTTACCAAAGATAACCGTTCTCTTTGTCAATTTTTTTTTGTTTTTTTAAAAAAATAATTTTGCATCATGGATGTTCCTATATACTAATCTATATCTTCAATTAATAAATAAAATTGAAATTGAAATTGTAAAAGTCAAAATCAAATGTCAAATTCAAACAAACTTTATTATCCTTTATATTTAATTAATTACATCATCTCATGCTTCCAAAAAAAAAAGAAAATTAAAAAAAATTACATTTGACATTTTGATACAATAATTCTCTAACTAATAACTTAAAAATTATCAATGTGGTAATAGTAATCCAATTAAAAAAAATCCAATTTACCAATTCAACCGTAGCCTATCGTGCTTCCACCAACCTCAACCATTGCAGCTAGCGCTTCTACCAATCTCAACCACCGCAGCCAACGCTTTCACTAAGCTCAACCACCGCAGCCTGCGGTTCCACCAACCTCAACCACCAAAGCCACCAATAGTGATGCAAATAGTGAAGCCGCACCAAACACCCACAAATCAAAGATGAAATTAAAAATCAGAATTTAATCCAAATCATAACACAAAAATCAATTGATAAAAGTTGTAGATCTACATTTAATAATTGAGAATTTAAACAAGCTACCTTGATAAAGTTAAATACCAATCAACTCGCAACAGCTTGCGACCATTAACAGAGCAAAATATAGATTAAATGGTTCGATCTTTCGCTCACCGCACTGCATTGGAGTTGGGGTTGGAAAACAAGGCTCGTTGTATCTCTAGATTCTTCGTAACATCAACGGCGATGCAAAGATAGGACAATTGTAAATAGAGGAAGAAGACGACGGAAAGGAGGTAATGCAACTCGGAGTTTTTAGGGCATTGAGGGATGAAGGTAGAAGAGAAAGGAGTTAGGATTTCAAAGGAGGGAAGAAGTGAAAGCAGAGGATCGGAAATGAAGATGGGGATGAAGTTATGAAGAAGAAATGGAGAATGATGGGATTGAAGGCTATTTTAGGAGTTAAGAGGAGTTAGGGTAAGAATTTTGGGCCTTTTAATATGTTGAATTTTTCTTAATTTTTTTTTTTTAAAAATAATGTTAAACATATAGAACGGTTGACGAAAAGGGGCGATCTATATTGTAAGTGTAAATTTTTTGGATGTACCAAATAGAACGATTAACTATGAAATGCGTTCTACAAAATAAAATTATAATTTAATAAAAATAATAAATACATTAAATAGAACGGTTTAATTAGATAGGCGTTCTATATGATCCTGGAGATAGCCTATCTAAGTTAACCGTTCTTTATCTTGTGTTTCTTATTCTAGTTTTTGTGGTAGTGGTAATTTCTTGCAAAAAAATGGTTATAAAAGATGGTTTAATGCAAAATTTCCTTAAATTAATAATCTATCAATTACATAATAGTATAATAGACATCGGAAATAACACATGTCACTTCCTGGTATCATTTTAATTTACATATTACAAAAGCAATTAAAGATTCTTAATACTAACTTTAATATTACCAGAGGTTTCAACACGCATGATACATCTAGATCTTATAGAAGAGTTTTCATAGTTGGCGTTATATTTATGGTCGTTTGCATGTTATTTTGTTTGAACTATATATTTATATAGTTTGATTGTAATGTTGATTCGTGTCCGCTATGCATTGCTCGTTGTACACATACCACAATGATAAATACTTGTAGGAAATTTTACGGACATTTGCTTTTTATAAGTACTTGTACTTATATACAACAGATTACATTTGAAAGGTGAGAAATATCAAAGACAAAAATAAAATTTCCTCGGAAGAAATTAAATATGGAATATATCAAGCCACTAACACAAATTAATTGCACAATTGATTCTACTCCAAACATATCTCGCTGTATCATCAATCACAATATATTAAAAGACACACCAGCAATGACAACACGTGTTGTCTTCTGGTGTGTCCTTAGTATATTTTTTTTTTTGTAAAAAAACCTTTTTAAAAATTGATAAAAAATATAAGCAAAATATTTACTTCCAAAATTTAGGAAAAAAAATCGTAGAATATTATATTTATAAACTTAAATATCTAACCATATCTTTGCATAAATAAATTCCTATATAGTAATTACTTTTGAAATAAAAATAATGTCATCAAGGTTCAAAATAGAAGAAAGAAATATAATATGTATTCAAAAAAGATAAAAAAAAAAATGAAGTAGTTTGATTTGAGATAAAAAAAATAGATTTTAAATTGATACTCCATGACAAAGGTTGTCCATGACAAAGGTTGAAAAACCGTGCATGACATGGGATCTAACCTAGGTTTCCCTAAGGTGATGTTTTGAGACTTTAAGACCACATTCTTTAGAGCTGATCTAATCTGCTCTGCTTAAATCAAATCTGCTCTGCTCTATTTTCAAATAATAATTAATAATAAAAATAATAATAATTAATATTCAATAATAATTATTAATATTTATTAATTAATAATAATAATTATCAATAATAATATTTAATAATAATTCAAACTATTAAGAATTAATATTATTATTAATTAATAATTTCTAATAATTATAACGATTCTTTCAAATAAATAAATAATAATAATAACAATTAATAAAAATTTCTTTTATAAACATTTGAAATTAGAATCACAATGTGTAGGAACATTTAATGTGGGTATTGATTGTTAGTTCATTGAGTTGAATTATTTTTCAAATTTTTCCATACAAAGAGCTTGTTTTCAAGTAGTACTTTGTATATCATTACTATTTTTAGGGTTACAAATATATGATTAAGACAAATTTATAAGTAAAATCATTATTAATCATTAAATCATTTTATTTTAAAATTTTCGTGAAATAAATATAAGTAAACTGTTGTCTTTTATCTTTCTAGCTACTGTTAAAATATGTTAAATATGGTACACATTTATTTATGTTTTCACTCACCTAAATCATTGGTATATGCACTTAATAATAATAATAATAATAATAATAATAATAAACAACAACAACAACAACAACAACAACAACAACAACAACAACAATATAATAACATTAATAATAATAATAATAACAATAATAATAATAATAATAATAATAATAATAATAACAACAACAACAACAACACATTAATAATAATAATAATAATAATAACATTAATAATAATAACAACAACATTAATAATAATAATATTAATAATAGTATTAATAATAATGTTGAAATCTGCTCTACTCTGCTCTGCTATTCTGAAATTTGCGCTGCTCTGCTGAAATTTAATCTTCTCTGCTCTGCTAAGAAGCTCAAAAGAACATGGTCTAAGTATACAATCGTTCTTATAATCCCCAAATGATGTGTAAGGCACACACAAGCCAAACAATTGTCAATCCCTCATAATTTGTTTTGTTGTCCAACCTTTTTGCTATGTCCTGGCAGATGGGATATATTGAACAAAGCTAGAAAAAAAATTAACACATTTAACATACGGATAGTAATATGTATTAGGGTTTGTTCTCATACGTTGAAATTCAATTTGGTTCAGTTTAATTCATGTCTAATGATATTGCTAATGATATTAAGCCAAATTTCATTCTTTTAAGATCTTATTACAACGACGATAATAATAATAATAATAATAATAATAATAATAATAATCAATAATAATAATAATAATCAAATAATAATCAATAATAATAATAATAATAATAATCAATAAATAAT